GACCACGTTCAACGAATTTAGCGCATCGAAATATGATGACCTCGCTAGAAAATTTGAGTCACACTCAAAATGTATCAGGGAAATGAAAGTTGATCTAGAGTATATTTTCAAGAAGATAAGGTGAGATTGTGTTCGAGTTTGCCATAAAAATAGTCACCAGGTTAGAGTAACTTTTGCTCCTTTTGATCTATTTTCCTAGAATAATAAAAACAAAGATGTCGGCGCAGTACCCTGACATATTTGAACAGGTGGAGGCAAAGTTTCCTAGAGGTGACGATGATGACGATGAATAATCACTTGTTGCAGAACGGAGAAATGAAATTGGTTGTACGGTATAGATGTCATATTTACATGTTATTTTGGTTGTGAAAGTGCGATGAAAAACGAAATACCAGAAATTCCGAGTGTTTATGGCATAGCAACACATGAATTTAGAATTTTGGAAATACGATAACTTTTTTTTTAAATCTATAATTAAATATTTTATTATATATCGCCTAATGATACATGTTTTAAAGAAAAAAACAAATTAAACAAACACCATCGTAAGACTTAAGCATACTCTGTACCCTACATCTCTCTTTTGGTGATATGATAATGATAATAATTTAATATAACACACAGGTATCGTAAATAACACAGTAGTCAACCCATTTAACAATCCTCTTTATATTCGGTTCCAGAGACCAGCTTTCCCCTAACGTAAACCCTCAGGATGTTCCTTTCATCCCCGAGAAATATGAACTTTTCAAACACCCTCTCGATATCGTCATCTATGCCTTCGAAACAATTTATCGGCGATTGATGTGATTCGGGATCGATTAACAAGGCATCAAATTCTTTTCCGACCTCAAAGTTTCCGATAACATTTTCGAGGTTCACCAAATTTGCACCGCCCATCGTTGCTAGGTAGAACAACTCGTTAAGTGTGATGTGCGAGGGTTTTTGGTTATCACCATTGTTTCCATCTCTGGGCGTTGTCATGTAAGTGACCTTGCTGGCCAAACTTGCACTGCGTATTGAATCTAATATGGTCTTTGCGAATCCGCCACTAATATCCGTACCTAATCCAACCTTAATTCCCTCGTTCAACAATTGTCTCACATTGCACACTCCTGAACAGAGTGAAAAATTAGAATTCGGACAATGCGATATTCCCACGCTGCGTTTCCTGATGAGATCTCTTTCTTCCGGTGACAAGTGTATTCCGTGCGCCATTATGGTCTTATTGTTCAACAAGCCATGGTTATCATATACCGAAGTGTAGTTCGGTAAATTAGGAAACTTTTCGGCCACGAACGCGATCTCGTCGGCATTCTCGGAGAGGTGCGATTGAATTGGAACGTCATATTTCTCGGCAAT